GCTCCCTGGGACCAGGCTGGGCTCCATCCTCCGGGTTCCTCGTGGGACTGAGACAGATTCCACCTGCCTGAGAATCCCTGGATGAGTGCAGTGTGCTGGCTCTGCCAGTGCCTTGGGTAAGGAATGAGTTTGGTGTCTTGCTTTGAGGGAACCAGGTGAGATTTCCATGGTTTGACAGCACGCAGCAGAGCAGGATGGGGGGTGGTTTTATATTTTTTAAAGAAGCTGCTTTAATCACTTTAATACAGCATTTCTGTTTGCAGTGCTGGGAGTGACGTACCTAAAAATGTTTTTACTGGCTCACACAGATCAGTAAAAGTCAACTGTGTGCATCTTCCTTTTGGGGCTTCTTTTTAAACACAAATCTAGAAATGGTTTTGAGGCATTCATAATTCAGTATATTGTTTTTAGCAATGCTTTTCCTTTTGGTGCCTTGGGTGGTTTTTTTTTTCACAGCAAAATAATTCCAGTGAAGATTTTGAGGTGAGCTTAGGTATGAAAGTTGTAATGTCACTGGGGTTTATCCTTCAATCAGATCTGAAAGGAGTCATGCAAAGGGCAAGTGAAATTTGGGGATCACACAGTGAGGAGAAGGCTTTGCTCTTCCTCCTCCCTTGGCCTGTGGCTTTCAGCAGGTTGGATCTCGTGGCCAAGGGCAGCTTTCCACTCGAACAGTCTGGACATGTTGATTACTTTTAAGGTTATTTTGCTTTCAAGATAATCCTTGGGGTTTTTTCCTGACTGCTGATGCTTTGAAAGTTCTAAACAACCACTAGGATGAAGTCAGTGATTTAAGTGTGGCTTCTCCAGAAGAATCCTTGGAGAGGTTGTGAGTATGATGTGCCTAAAATGAGGGGGGGATGTCAGTCTGCTCCTTGTGCATCACACAGTCCATGTGGCACAATCCCAATTACTTTTCCTTGCAGGTCACTCCTGGCTGGTGCCTGAGCCCTTTGCAGACTCTGGCAGCAAACAACCTTGTAATGCTGTGCTGGTGCTGGCAGGGAGGGGATTTGTGTGGCCTCAGGGGCCTGGGCCCTCCTGCCCAGAGCCACCGTGGATCTGTGGCACTCTGGGGCTGCTGCTGGGCACACAGGTGTCCCCAGGAGCAGGACAAAGGCAGCCTGCAAGAATCAGGTGCAGTGACCTTGGAGTGTGTCCAGGGCTGCTGTGGGATCAGAGGGGCTGGGAGCACGAGATCAGCGTATTGATTCCATCCTGCAGCTGAGTTCTCTGTGAAATCCCTGCCAGGCAGTGGCTGCAGGCTCCCAGACAGGGGGCATTGATCAGGGGCACTCCAGGAGCTGGAGCCTTGGAATTCAGCCCCTCCTGCTTCGTGGCAATTCCACTGATGGGATCTTCACAACTTCCCCTCAGTCATCTTTGGGCACTTGGCTCTTCGCTGCCACGGTTTAGTGTTGGGGCATCTGCTGGTTCCTGTGCTGAACCGGTGATCAAACCTTTCCTTTTAGCACTTTCCTAATTTTGTCTATCACAGCAGCCAGCTTCTTGTCCCAGAACACATGGGAACATTGCAGCCTTGCAGAATTCGTGGCCATGGGTGAGCAGCCAGTTCATGATGGGAGCCACCAGGTCCAGATTGCTCCAGAGCTGATCCAGCTGAAGAAAACCATCTGAGCTTAAAACTTCCTGTTGGAGCTGGATCCCTTCGGAAGTGAACATTGATAGATGATAGCAGGTGCTCTGGGGGCTGGAGCCAGGATGGGAGAGCTGGTTGTTCGCTTGGGGAAGGCTCCAGGGAGACCTCAAAGCTCCCTGAAGGGGCTCCAGAAGAATTGGAGATGCTCTTGGCACAAGGGATGGAGGGACAGGACACAGGGAATGGCTTTGCACTGCCAGAGGGCAGGGCTGGATGGGATATTGGGAATTAGAAATGGTTCCCTGGCAGGGTGCTGAGACCCTGGCACTGCCCAGAGCAGCTGTGGCTGCCCCTGGATCCCTGGAAATGTCCAAGGCCAGCGTGGACGGGGCTTGGAGCAGCGTGGGACAGTGGAAGGTGTCCCTGTTGGGGACCAGGAGTTGGGATGAGCTGGTGTTCAAGGTCCTTTCCAACCCAAAACCTTCCAGGAATTTATCATCACAGCAATCACTCAAGCAATGGTGCGTGAGGCAGAACTGTGTGATCAGGAGCTGTTTGATGTGGATTTTGTTGGATGGAAAGCTGGAAGGAGTCAAGAACTCGTCTGGTAAAGCCGTTGTTCAGCCTCTTAATGACAGAAAAATGTCCAGAATGTCAGGCTTGGTGTTGAACCAAATGGTTTCTTTGGTTAATCACTTCTGGATGTAAATTCCTAGAGTGGAGTGACATTGGCAACTCTGCATGCCAGGGGAGGGAGGAGAATCCACTGCCCAGCTGAATAAGTGATTTTGAAGTTCAGTTGCCTCAATTTCCCAGTTCTGTGCCCTTCCTGCTCAGATTGTGGCTGCACTCAGCTTTTGGCTGTTAGAGCTTGATCTACAGAGGGGAAAGTGGCTGCAGACAGCTTTCCCTGAGCAGCAGGTCACTCCTGCCCCTGCCCTCTCAGCTGCTTGCTGTGAGCTCTGCAGGCTGCCTGGATTTTTGCCACAAAGTTCCTTCTCAGCTCCTGAATTGTTTGAGATTTCCCTCGCTTCCTGTAGCTGTCAGTGTGTCCAGTCAAAGCAATTCCCATTCCCAGCATTTCCTCCCCACCTCTGTGCCTCAAGGATGTGATACTGACCTTTTCCTTGGCTTTGTTCCAGCAGCATGCCAGGAATATTTTGCCCTACAGGATATTTATTGCATTGCTGACTAACGCTGCCCTGGACGTGCTTGTGTGTGGAAATTTTTCCAAGAGATTAAATTAACTCACTAGATTAAAAACAACCCCAAACCAACATCTTAATGAAACAAAGCTGAAGTCTTGAGTGTCTGATCTGTTCCTTGGGCTGTGACCCCTGGATTGCTCATCCAGTTGTTTCCCATCTGGATTTTAAGCAGCTGCTTGTTCTTGTCTCTGTGTATTACCTTGTTCTGCTTCTCCCTGCTGGGCTTCATTTGCCTCCTGAGGTCATTTTGGCGTTTTCCAAGATGAATTTGAATTCTGAATCTGTCCCCTCCCTTGCTTGCAGTCTCTCCCAAATTGTTGCCTTCTGGGAATTTGAGGAACATGCAGCCAGCAAGGCAGAGCAGAAATTAGAGGTACAGCGGGAACTGTGGGCTTTCATTCCTGCCAGCGTTTCTAAAAGGAGTCACTTTGGTTTTTTTGAAAGGAGGAATGGCAATGCCTCAGTATTGATGGAATTAAAACTGTGAGCAGTTGGTGTTAATGCCATCTTGATCTGCTGCCTGTCAACATAAACCTGGGTCTCTTCAGAGAAGAGATGTCTTGGAACTCAGTCCGTTAGGATGCTCTCTCCAAATGTTGCTTGAAGCAGATATTTAAATATAAACAAGCCAAGCAGTACCTTATTTCTCCCCTCTTTTTGTGAAATGAGTGAAGATAGTGTAGGGAGGCTCCAGGAATAAACAGAATATTTTTATTTTTTATGATTTGTGGACAGATCCCTTCCAAGATACGTTACTCAGAAGGGAAGAATTTTCTGGAACACTTGATTGTCCTTCAGAGCTAATTTCCTGGGTGGGCCTGGGCCTGGGAGGGGTTAAATGCGGCTCTTTGCATCAGTGGCCACGTGAGGAAAACCAGCAGCTTGTTTCTGATGCTGCCAATCAATTCCTGGGGTTCAGCCCGTGCTGCAGCAGGAGGGGATTGGCTTTGCTTTTGTGTCTCCTGAGGCCTGGAATTAATCCCTCCTCCCTCACAGCACATCCATGGGACAAATCTGAGTGAGGGGTTCAGGAATCATTCCCATCTGGGATGTGCTGCTTCTGAAAACCTACTCAGTGCAGGGAGTATTTGCTCTGCCTTTGTGAAGGAGCTTTTTAACTTGCTGGGAAACAAGACTCTGCCTCCAGAGCAGAATATGTTAGAAATTCCTGTGGGAATTCAGGTTTTGGCTTGGGAAAATCTCATCTCTCTGAGGCTGTCTGCTGGGTTCCTGTTTGTTCAGCCCTTTTTCAGAGTTAACTGAAGAGAAAATGCTGCTTAATTTGGGTGCTGGACATTTTGGTGACACTTAGGGTAATTTCTAAAACAAACAAAACCCCCCCAAACTCACCCCAGAAATCACAGAATGGTTTGAGTTGGAAGGGACCTTAATCTTGCCTCAAATCCCTGTGTTCACTGGATGTCCACCCTGGCAAAGAACTGAAATCCTTGGAATATTGCTTGGAGAGCACAAGTTCTGCCTTGAGCACTCCTTTTTATCTTTTATTTGCACATGCAGTGTTTGTGTCCAGCTCAAGTCACACAGCTCCTCTCCTCTGCCTATGGGAGATGGCAAATTCCAGCTGCAAGGAGGGTGGGAAAAACTCTGGGATGCACCCCTGAGTTGCTTCCTAAATAACTGGAATAAATTCCTAAATAAATTCCTAAATACAATTAAGAGGATTTCTGCACATTATAATGAGGCAGCTGGAGATGTTCCTGTGGATATCTTGCTGATTCCTCCAGGTGAAGATGCAGGAGAAAGAAAAAGCCTTTAAAGTATGAGTTAGGCTGTGGTGTTTGTCTTAGAGGAGTAGAAAATAAGTGTTGTGAGGATGATGGGGTCTGAAAATGAAAAAATCCCATGTTTTATGAGTGAGAAGAGCTTTTTGTTGCTCATAATTTGTTATGGGGGCTGTTAAGGTCATTCAGTGCAACCAAAATTACACAGAACACTGAAACTAATTTTCATCTCAAATCACAAATATTTAAGAGCAAATCTGATGGTTGGGAATGATCCAGGGGGGAAAAAATGTGACTTGACAGTTGTGAAGTCAATAACTGCTCTGGTTCTTGCAGGAAGTTTAAGTGCACGTGATGGATCTGTTGAACAGTAAACCATTTTTATATCATTTGCTTAAACCTTGCTCTGAAGTTGGTCTTTGAATCCATGGTTTTTTTCTCTTCTTTTAGTGGGGAAGACTTCCTTGATCACCAGGTTCATGTATGACAGCTTTGACAACACCTACCAGGTAAGTGAATCCATATTTTTGTCTTGTGTAAGACTCCTCTCCTGCCGTGTCTTCCACTGCAGGAAAAGTCATTCCAGAATCTAATCCCTGTGTGTGGAAAACATAACAGGTACCCAGCTCTTTTAAGCAAGTTGACACAAGCTAGAAAACAATACAAAATATATTTATGAAAAAATCAAGATGCTTAGAAAACAATTTTACAAATGAGCACGGTGCAGCCCAGGAGAACAGTCAGCGTTGCCCACTCCCAGAATTCAGCATGAGCTGAAAATGTGGTGAGATATAGAAGTATTTCAGTTTCCTGAAGTGTGTCTCCTCCAAGCAGAACATGTTTCATGACTTGGTTACAGTTGGTGATGTTCTGGATACACGAAACTGAGAAAAATCTGTTCCCTGGTGCCTGGGAAGGTTTTTAGGGGGTTGGGAGGAGGAGGTAACAGAAAAAAGAAAAGGAAAACGTGATTCTCCTGTTCCTCAGAGTCTAGCCAAGGATCTCATTGAACTGAGAGATTCCCCTGCTGCCTCCTTCATTAATTCCTCCTTGCTGCTGCTAGGAAAAATGGGATGGGGAGTTGTCCCTGAGCTGTGGGAAGAGCCGCGTTTCCATAGTGTGGGAGGGCTGGAGCACACATCCCTGCTTCCTCCCACTGTAATTACATGGACATGGAAGGCAGTTCTTTTATTTAAGCTGGGATTTCATCCCTTCCCCAGTATTTTTTTTAGGAGAGCTCCTTTTCCTTACTGAGTTTGTCCCAGTTCTTGAGGAGGTTTCACCCTGTGTGCTTTAGGGTGTCACCACGGAAGGGTGGTCTGATGTAATACATGAAATGATTGCAAAATCAGTGAGTGGCACTTAGAACAATGAGAAATCCTAAGGGCTTCCAAGACAGCTTGGGTTTAGGCATCAGTGCTGCCTGCCCAGTTTGGGTGTTAGGGACTTGGGTCAGAGCCATTCATCCAAACCCTTTGGTTTTCCTGGAGTTGTGCCTGAGATGGGGCCATACCTCCTAGTGGGTGCTGTGGCTGGAAGAAGGAACCAGTCACAAAAGCTCCAGGGATTTGGCCAAAATCACACTGCCTGTTGGTGTCAACCCAAACCAGACCTCTTTGGATGCCCAGGATTGGCTAGAGCCCCCTGAGACCTCAGTATTAATGCACCTGATCATGGGTAGCTGGAGCAGGAGGTGAGTTCAGGGATGATCTGCTTGTTCTGGACGTTGCTGGCACATTTTGAATGCCTATTTTTCTGAAACCTATCATTTGAACACGGGCTCTTTATGTTCAGCTGTTAAAAATAGCAAGCTGCCATTTAGAAAAATCCGTGCTGTGCATTGGATTCCTTCTGCTCGCTGCTGGGTGGGAGCAATTCAGCTGTGTCCCTCTGTCTTGTCAGTAAGAACTTGCTGTGCTGTGGCAGAAACCCAGACACCTGGAATGAAACCATGTGATTGGAGGGGTTTCTTTTACCAGGAGTCATTCCCCTCCTCCATGGACGTGCTGGGAATGGTTTCCTTTGTGCTGTGGCCCCACATCTGTTTTAGTACAAGTCTGGTGTGTTGGGCCTGCTGCAATCAGCTCATTGGTAATGCTGCTTCCCTGTTGTGGTAGGACAGGCTGGGAGAGGAGAAGGCTCCAGGGAGAGCTCAGAGCCTAAAGGGGCTCCAGGAGAGCTGCAGAGGGACTGGGGACAAGGGATGGAGGGACAGGACCCAGGGAATGGCTCCCACTGCCATTAAGATGTTCTCCACTGGTGTTGGGAAGTTGGGGTGAACCAGGCTTTAGTTAGGGATCATGTAGGTGTCTGCGTTGATCTGCTTGGAAGAGTGAAGATCCATGGAAATATGTGGCACTTGGGTAGAAGGCAGTGTGCCCACCAGTCCTGGTTTAGCTGGGGGGACACCAGTTTGTCACATGCATAAAAATCCCTGCTGCTACCCAAATTAATATGCCCCAAGTCAAGCTTAAAACCTTTTGTGCCTTAAGGAATTGTTCTGGTCATGGATATATTAAACAAATTGCTCAATGAATCAAGCTATATCTTAAAAACAAGAAACCAAACCTGTTTTTTTTGCAGCTTCTGCTGCTCCCCTGAAAATGACTGCAGGTGTTCTGACATTTTTTTTTAAGAGCTTTTGGTTTTCTCATCTCTTTCCAGGCAACAATTGGCATTGACTTCTTATCGAAAACCATGTACTTGGAGGATCGAACAGTGAGTAAGGTTTTGTTGCTTTTCTCTGTGAGCAGTAGGAATGAGGACCAGCATCTGGTTTTGTGCAGCCCACACTTGTGAGATCACTGGGAAGCACAGGCTGAGCCTTCATCTCCCAGCTGCTCCCAGGCTGACAAGTGCTGTGGAGACACAGCAGCGGGGATGGGAAATGTGGTGTCATCCTCTGGGAGGAAAGAGATAATCTGAGGGGTGAATGGTGGTGGGAGTCTGGAGAAGGGGGAGCCATGATTAACCCCTTCAGCTTTTGATGCCACAAGACAGAAAGGTGAAATGCAGGTTGTCAAATGTGGCCAGTTAATAGCTGGTTCCACGTTCTTAATACTCTTTGTTTAAAAAGAAGGTGCCTTCTGATGAGTGCACAAACGAGACTGAATTCCTTGCTTGGTGCAGTTTTAGCTCATCAAGTGAAATCACTCCTCTGTGCAAGCAAAGCTGTGGTTTAAAATGAGCTCAGATTCTTAATTAAGAAATTCAGCCTCAGTTGAGCTATTTGCAGAAACAAAACTGCAGTGCTGCAGAAGCTTGTGATGAACACCCAATAAATGGGATTGGATAAACCCCCAGTAAATGGGATTGCATGGAGAGGGCTTGAGGGATGAGATGTGCTTTCCTTGGCCCAACAGGCTCTTGCACACCTTGCTTTTAGTGTGCCTTGCCTTTTCTTCCAGAGCCTTGCTGGTAAGAGCCGTTGAGCCTGTCTGTGAGTGTCATTTTGCAGTTTAGAGTAACAACAAGCGTTTTATCCTCAAAAACCTGACATGAGGAGCTTTTCCACCAGCAGCTGTCCTTCATGCTGCTGGAGGTTGCCTGTGTGAGTCCTGAGCAAGGAGAGCAGAGCATGAGTTTCTCCTGTAGGGAGAAGTGCAGGTGAACATTTCACAGAACCACTGAGGCTGGAAAAGCCCTCCAAGATCAAGTCCAGGCATCCCCAGCACTGCAGGTCCCCAAGTGCCACATCCACACCCTTCTGAGCACTTCCAGGGATGGTGATTCCATCACTTGAGCTGTAGCTTTCTTGTTGGTGCTCTCAGTTTGGAAGCTGAGCAGTTCCACTCCCCCCTTTTGGAAGGGAAGCGTTTTTTGGGAAGCTGCACCCCCCAGTTTGGCTGCTCTTACCCCTCGGGAGAGATTGCTGTAGGGAGACAGTGTCCTGCTGCTCCCAGTCCCCAGGCACCTCCTGCATGAGTGTCTCCTTTTTACTTAGCTATTTTTTGGAAGAAAAAAAAAAAAAAAAGTAGTGAAACATTTCTTGACTCTTTGCCTTTTAGTGGCAGTTTGGCTTTTTTCATTTTCTCCCGCCCACAGATCAGGTTGCAGCTGTGGGATACCGCGGGTCAGGAACGTTTCCGTAGCCTCATTCCCAGTTACATCCGTGACTCTGCCGCTGCTGTAGTAGTGTACGATATCACAAGTAGGTATTTGCCCTGCCTTTGACCTTTGTCTCATCTCTCTTGCTTGTTTGACTGATTTTGTTAGGTACGGTTGCAATTGTGGGACACAGCAGGTCAAGAGCGGTTCAGGAGCTTGATTCCTAGCTACATTCGTGACTCCACTGTTGCAGTTGTTGTTTATGATATCACAAGTGAGTGGGGGGAATTCTGCATTTCTAATACTCTGCCCTTTTCATCCTCTAGCTTAGCTTTGCATGTCCTCTCACGTCATCTGCTTGGGCTTCGTGCTGGCATGACAAACGTGGTTTCTCTGCTCGTTTCACACAAGCCCCGTGGTTGCTGCTGTTGCCATGTATAAAGTGTCTCACAGAGGCCATGTTAACCCTTCCCCACCCCATTTTCTTCAGTCCCCCAGTCCTGCCTGCTCTCGTTGCACTCCTCCATCCGCCTTTGGTCATAACATCACCTGTGCCTTTTGGTCTTTGTGTCCATGGGTATCTGAATTCTCAAACTGGAGACTTGTGTAGCTTGCTCCACCTCATTGACCCTCCCCCTCAAATGAACTCTGGGCACGGGCTGGCGGGGAGACGGCATTAACATCACGTTTTCCTTGGAATCGGCCACTCTCACATGCTGCAAGATGCAAAACTTACTACTAAGCTCTTACCCTTTAACAATTGCTCTTTCATTCCTTACTAAGGTATGTACATTTTTGTCAACTAAAATATTAGTGCTTCTTCAGCCCTGCTCCTTCTGTCCCTCCCCTCAGTCCAGACACCCCTTAACTTACCAGTTCCTCACTGACAAAGAGCAGAAATTCTGTTTTAGGGGAGCTAAACCTTCAGACAGTATCAGTTTTAAACCAGAATTGACTGAGAACAATGGCCTAATTCTGCACAAATGCATAAGTTCTTGTCCTTTGACTTATAAATACTAGAAGATTACAGCCAGGAATAGGGGCTTTACCTAGAAAAGGTCTAATTGTTAAAAATGGCACTTTCCTTTGAGCTAAAATTACAGGTTAGCTGTGAATTCTGAATTTTTTCCTGACCCAGCAAATTCAATATTGCCAAGCAGTAAAGGGAATTAAGACACTGGCAGGTGATCAAGTCTTGGCTGTCTAGCATGCAATATATTACTTTGCAGTAGAAGCCATTAAAAAAAAATCAATACTTTTCAAGAACTGCTGCAGAGGCCCCCCCTTTCCTAAGTACTGAAACTACTTTGGCTGCTCAGATGCTCTTTGTGTCACTAACTGGCAAATGCTGAGCTCTGTGGCAGCTTCCCTCCAACTCCTTTTTCCCTGTGGGATGCAACATTCAAGCACCCCAGAGTCTGGAATTCTTACCTTGCAGCTTTAAGGGTGTACATGAAGTGCCTGTGAAGAAGTTAAATTTCTGCTTTTGGTGTTATGCAAAGATTTGGGAATTTTTGTTTTGAAGGCAAGCATTCAGTGCACGGGAGTTGCTGCTGTGTTGTATAACCCTGGGATTCCCTAGAGAAAATAGAAATTTATTCAAGTGTACAAAATGCAAGGCTGGGATTGAGGATTTTTGGGAAGCAGGGGTACTGTAGGAACCTCTGTAGGTGCACCAGCCATGAGTAGCAGAGTGCAAAAACTAATCCCCGCTCCCAACAGAAAATACTTCATGTAAAAACAAACTGAAACACAGTGATAAGACTTTTTATTTTAGGTGCTGTCAAAACCAAATTATAGATGGACTCGGCTCCCTCTGGGGCTTTGAGCCCACCTGTCAAGAGGCACTTTTCCATCTGAAACCAATGCCAGAGCTCTGTGTCCTTTAGTGGGGGAGACTCGGGGTTCCACTCGCTGATTCTCCATCACCCTCCTCCGTGACTGCACGGAAACTGAAGCTTTTCTTTCCAAGTGCAGATGTGTGTCCTGGTGAGCTGTGAGGGACAGCTGCAGTGCTAACCCTCTCCACTGTTCTCTGATAGATGTAAACTCCTTCCAGCAAACCACAAAGTGGATCGACGACGTCAGAACGGAACGGGGCAGCGATGTCATCATCATGCTGGTGGGGAATAAAACAGATCTAGCAGATAAGAGGTATGGGCCAATCACCCAGCTTTCAAATGCTTTTCTTACTCTGCTGCTGCTTGCTCTTATTTTAAGGAGTGTATTGTAATGTATTTGTTTTTTCTGGAGATGGCTGTGACTAGAGAAATCTCAATTTTAAATCCTCTTTCTTTCGACTAAGCCAAATTTCCATCACAGGGCTGAAAAACCATCACCAGCTTGTACAGATGTCAGGGGAGAAGGGATTGTTAACTACAGCCCACACCAGTGAATGAATAAACTGGTTACAAATATTTGTTCTTAGTAATGTCCTGCCTAATGGGTGGAACACATATCCAGGGAAAAATCCCTCCCAAATGAGGTGGTTACACTTGGACTTTTGTGGAAGTACTTTGGTTTTGATGATTATTTTGGGACTGTGATTGCTAATTGTTCAGACATAAAAGCAGAGCTTCCTGGGCAGGGATTTTAAGGGTGAACACTTGGCTTTTCTGCTGGAATGCTGAGTTCTGCTTGGGTGTGCCATGGAAGTGAAGTGGTGATACCTGTCAGCACCTGTAGATTCCATGAAGGCAAAAAAAACCCCTTTAGGTGCTTTCAGATAAAACACTTAAAGGTTTTTTTGAAGTGTAATAAATCTTAATTATTGAGGTATTTGTCCAGGTTTGTGTTTTATGAGGTTTTTTTCTCCCTAACTCTGTGTTTTCTTCCCCAGACAAGTGTCCATTGAGGAAGGAGAAAGGAAAGCCAAAGAGTTGAATGTAATGTTCATTGAAACTAGTGCAAAAGCAGGATACAATGTAAAACAGGTGAGTGGCTGCAGGTAACACACCCTCCTTGTGGGAGCAGCACCTCCCTGGCTCTTGGGAAGCCTTGGCACTGGGGGCAGTGGGAATTGTAGTGCACACACAGCAAGCAACACCTCAGAGCTCAATTGTTGGCTGAGGTTCTGAAGGATCTCTGGCCTTGCTTCACGTGATTTGGGACTTCCTTTCCTTAAATAACAGGGCAGTTATGGAAGAAGCTTTGTGAGTACAGAATCACACTTTCCTGGGCTTTTGGTAATCCAGATTGGCTGTTTGGACTGAGAGTGAGACACGACGCTGGGGAAGCACAGGTCTGAGGACTGTTTGTGTTCTGCTTCAGTGAATGAAACAAACCAGGGAAGGAGGAGCACGATGGCTTAAAATGCTCCCAGTGCACAGGGGGACAGAGCAACTGCTGTTCCCACTCTGCTGCAAGGCACTGCAAGTGCCAGCAAATGTTTCTGGACAGCCAGAGCTATTTATTTCCAGAAGATGATGAGTTGCTTTTGAATTGGGGAAAGCAGTGAAAGGTCTTTTGAACTGATGGGAGTGCAGAAAAATGAGGGTTTATGTCCTGACATGAGCTGTGGCTCTTAAAATTCAGACCTGGAGAAGGCATAAATTGATGGGTGTCTCCACAGAGCAAACACACCAGTGTGGAATGCTGTGCTCAGCTCCCTGTCCCCAGGAACAGAAAGAGATGAAGGTACTGGGGAGAGCCCAGAGGGGAGCAGAGAGCTGGAGCCAGGCTGGCAGAGCTGGGGGTGCTCCCCTGGAGAGGAGAAGCTCCAGGGAGAGCTCAGAGCCCTGGCAGGGCCTGAAGGGGCTCCAGGAGAGCTGCAGAGGGGCTGGGGACAAGGATGGAGGGACAGGACACAGGGAACGGCTTCAAATTGTCAGATTTAGATTTGGTATTGGAAAGGAACTCCTCCCTGTGAGGGTGGGCAGGCCCTGGCACACAGAAGCTGTGACTGTCCCTGGATCCCTGGCAGTGCCCAAGGCCAGGCTGGACAGGGCTTGGAGCAGCCTGGGACAGTGGGAAGTGTCTCTGCCACGGCAGGGGTGGCACTTGGGTGATCTTTAGGTCCCTTGCCACCCAAACCATCAGGGATTCTGTGTGTATGGGTGACATTCCACATATATCTTCTATATGGAATTACACAAATGGTTTCTGTGCAGAAGGGTACGAGGAGTAATAAAATAGGATTATAAACTGCTTCATGTTCTAGACAGGACTGAAGAGTCTGTTATTAAAATGTCCCTTGACTTTGCCTCTAAGTAGCAAAATGATTCCCTATATAATGGGATAATTATAGCAGTGTTAACTCAGAGCTGTTTCACTGCATCACCCACCATGGATGGGTTGGCTTCCAGGGTCCCCCAATTATCCTGCCACAACAGATAATTAGGGTTTGGATCCTGTGCTGCAATCCTTAATGAGTGCTTAGACCTGGGGGTGTGCACTGAGAGCAGTTGCCTCACTGAGAGGAGTGATGATGATGAAGGAGCTCTACCCTCCCTCTTTCCTTCGGGGAGTTTCTGGGCCCTGCCACATTTGCAGAGCTTCTGTAGCCAAGCCTGGGAGGGAGTTGTGGCTTTCAGGGCCAGCTGGAACCCTGGGGATGTGGTGGTGTGCACACACACGAGTAGATATTCAAAAAGAATTAAAAATGGATTTTTCTTACACGTTTTGATCTGTGTGTTGCAGGTGTGGACTGGGATTCTCAAGGATTTCAAAGCTGCTCTATATTCTAGAGTATTTGTAACTCATTTTTTATTAGTTTAATAAGCAGTTGTTTAAGCAGTTATCAAAGGATAAGAACTTCAATACCACCACTTAGGCAGCTCCCTGTTTCCTTGCAGCTTCTCTGCTAAATGGTGTGAATTTATTTTATAACTTAGCAATAAATTCTCTCCCAGTGAAATGGGAAAGTACAACTGCAGAATGGGTCCCCTTCCCATAACCTGTGTGAAATCCTTAATAAGCTGCATGCAAATTTGACCTTCCCATAACTGATAACTTCTCTCCACAATATATTCTGATCCTGCAGAACAATCACGGTCTCAGTTCATCCTCACACAGAATTTTCATCCAGAAACAGCCGAATTTCTTGTCATGCTCGGGGAGGGAATGGCTGTGACTCCACAGTGGGAATCCAGGGGCCTTTTGTCCTTTGGTGCTGCTTTTAGCTTCTGGTTCATGCTTTTCTGTGGGAAGAGATAAGAGGGAAGGGCACTGCCTGCAGCTCCCTGCAGCTGTGCTGCACATGCAGAGGGCCTGCCTTTGTGCTGGACCCCGGTAGGTGAGATGCTCTGTACATCCAACCGCAGCTATTCCAGTGCCAGGGTTTTCTGCAGCTATTCCAGTGCAGGATCTTCTCCCAGCAGAGAGGCAGAGGGGATGGTGCTGCTGCCAGGCTTCTCCTGCCATTCCCTGAGGCAGCAAAGGGGAGAGCTCTGAGGATGGCACCTCACTGCTGGCTGCTGTTGGACCTGTGATTGCAGAGCTGTTTGCAGTCCCCAAGGTCCTTCACACTCACTGTTCCTCCTCTGGCTTTGGGCAGGGGGTGTTGAGGGAAAAATGAGTGGATATTAGGGAATAAAAGCATTGGCGGTGTTATTGTAGGGTTAAACCAGTGCAGCAGAGGGGAAAAGACTGGCTTTGGGATCCTGCAAAGCCTGATTGCCAGGGGAGCCTTAAGCTGGGAAGAGAAGTAGATAAGTTGCTCCTTTTAATGCAGAGAGCTGTAGTCTGTGATTCATTCTGTCAGCCCTGAGTGAGCTTTAGGAGACTTTGCGATTCCTGCTCTGTCTCGGCGCTCCGTAGTTCGGGGAATCTTATTGTTAGTCCCTGGATTTCATGCCCAGAATATGTCAGGGTTCATTTTGCTGCCTTGTAGAAGGAGAGGGGAGGGAGGGCCCTGGAGTTGCTGCCTCCAGCAGTACCTGGCACGCTGCACGCTGGCCCTGCAAGGGCTGGGGATGAATGTGGGCCTTGGCAGAAGAACTTTCTCACGGCAGCAGCTCTCTGAGCACAGCCCCTCTGTGACCCTGTTCTCACAGAGCTGGCCTTTCTCCTGTCTTCTGATTCTTACCCATCTGATGGGCAGGAATTACCCTCAGAGTTGCAGAGAATGGGAATTAGGGAGAGATGTTTGCTTGCCTTGCATTGGGGAGCAGGGTTCTTGGCCGGCTTTTCCATCTGGACAGCGATCCTCCCGTCCTTTCCATATTGCTGAAAACTGGTTTGTGCCTGCAGTCCTTTGTGACCCTGATCTGTTGGGATTTATTGGCTGGAGTGGCAGGCAAGGCACAGTTTGGCAAATGACTTGAAACTGATGGTGAGGGATGAGGCTTCTTTCCAGAGTTTCTATCAGCAAGCAGATTGCAGAGTTGAGCGCTGAAAGAGAGTTTGTGTGGCTTTTAGTCTTTCAGCTGCTGCATTTAACTCCTGCCTTGGAAAAAAAGTCCTGGATGCTCATCAATACTTGTGTTTTTATACCCACACAAACATTGAAACATGTACATGTGTGTACAGACACACACTGGCTCGGGGCTGACAGCACCAGCAAGCTCAGAGGGCCCTGTGGGAAGGCTGCTTTCCAACCATCAGGAAGTTTCCCTAATTGGATTTATTCACATATGCTGGGGCCGATAAGCAGAAGGTTAATAAGAAATAAAGTTGATTTTTCTTAGTTGCCAAATTCCTATTTTTAGTCCGATAATTTAGGGGAGAAATACTGCTAAAAGCATCATTTTATTCCTAGTCTTAATGTAAAGAAAGGATTACTGCATTTTAAATAACCTTTCTGTCAGCAGTGTGGTTTAAATGCAGGAATTCCAGTCAGTTCCATCAGCTGAGGATTTTTTAAAGACTCCTCACCCTTCCTGTATGTGGGCATTCCTGCTGTTGGTTTAGGTAGAGTTTAACATCTGGAATTTTGTTGCTTCCTGGTTGGCCTGTGAGGATTTCCCTGAGGTTTCCAGGGAGGCTGGAAGGTCCAGGTTAATGGCGAAGGTCCACAGAAACACAGAGGGAGGCATACTGAGCTTTTTTGTTGGCTGAAATGAGGGAGTTACATCGAGTCCCGACTTCTCAGACCCATCCTTGGCTCAGATTCCAGTGTGTGCCAGATTGCTGCCAAGAAAGATCCCAGACAGACCTGGGGGCTTGCTCGTGGTGAGCTTGGAGGGGGCTGTAAGGCCAACAGAGTGACCTTAGGAAGGTGGGAGCATCACTGGGACACTGGGAGAGCCCAAATGGGGAAAGCCCTTGGGCAGGGATCCCCAGGGCTGCTCGGGTACCCACAGCCCTGATGTGAACAGGCTGGCAGTGCCTTGGCTGGGCTTTCTGTGCAAAGTGGGTCACTGGGAATAAGTGGTTTAGCTTTGTGTCATTTGAGGAGAGGCAGGACAGCGGAGGAACGCGCCAGGCCTGACGTCAGAGCCGCAGGATCCAGGGATGCACGGGGAACGCGAGATGGAGGGACAGCATCCTGGGCAGGGGGACGGGCAGCTGGACCCAGGGCCCTTCTCCTGCGTTGTCCACAGGGTCCTCACCCAGAGGGCCCAGGACAAGCTGTGTGGTGGCAATTACCAGCCTGAACCTCAGGGGCAGAGGTAGGAAATGCAGGAGAGGGAATCGGTCCTGTTCCATCTCGCCTCCTTCAAGTGGAATAAAACCATGAGGAGAGTTTGTAGCTCAGACCTTGCTGGGGACTGGAGGTGGTGTTCAAGTGAGGGGCTTTGGATGCCTTTGTTCTGTGCTTTTTGCCCTAAATATGGGCATAGGAAAACCATGGAATGGGCACCAAATGATGAGGATTAGGTTTGGCTGTGTTCCTTTGTTCCTGTGTCTGTTCCATAGGAACCTGAGCCACAGGTAGGGGAGGCTTGGGAGAAATCCTTTCCATACGTCCCATTGTTAGACACTCTTCCATGTGTGTCAGCTGGGCTGTTGTCGTGACAGGCTCCTGGATGTGTGTTTGTCTTCATCAGCTTGTCCATGCTCCTCTGCAATCCTCTTGGGAGGTGTGAAAATGTAATTCCCACCTGCCCTGGGGAGGCTGTTGGGTCTGTGGACATGCGTGGCAGGTGTGGGGTGAGATGCTGGCTCCCACCCATCCTGTTTGCAGGGAAGGTGCAGGAGGTTTGCTGCACACAGCTCTCTGATCTCCACTAACAAGAGCTGTGCTCTGCCCTTTTCTGGGAAGAAAGGTGATATTTGGTGTCAGGATTTTGGGGCTGAGCAGTGTAAATAGTGCTGGGGATGTGTTGGATCATTGTTTGAGCTGCCTCAGCCGGGGGGAGCCGTTGTTTTCATCTGTTCCCTCTGTGGTTCTTTGCAGCTTTTCCGACGTGTGGCAGCTGCCTTGCCCGGGATGGAAAGCACACAAGACAAAAGTAGAGAAGACAGTATCCTTTCTGTGCCTGTGCCAGGCATTACCCTGCACCAGGAAAATCCTCTGCAGCCCTCACTCAGCTCCTGGACATCCCAGAGAGAGGGGGAACAGGGGCAAGTAACCTGCGAGCTGAGCAAGGAGGATTGGTGGGTTGGAAGGCTGAGGGTGGAGAGGGCAGCAAGGGGAGGAATGGTGATCCAAAAGGATTCTTTGCTTGGTGTTTGAATGTGTGGAAGGTGTGAGAAAACAGGTGCCAAGAGGTCTGAACAAAAACCCCTGTGGTTCTTGCAGACCTGACTGACAGAATCCAAACCAAGCTGTTCTGGAAGGGACCTCTGAAGGCCCCTGATCTTCTCTGATCCTCCTGCTCAAAGCAAGGCTGACTCCCAAACTGAGCCAGTTTCTCCAGGTCACGTTCAGGGAAACTTGGGAAATCTCCAAGGATGGGGATCCCATAAGCTCCCAGGGCAGCCTGGGAGCCCAGGCAGCATCTCAGACTCAACTGATGGGATCAGTCTCAGCCAAGGGAAAGCAGGGGTGGGAAAGGCTTGAAAAGCAGTACGGCTACACTGGAATCACCAGGCTGGCCAGGTGGGTGTGCTTGTAATAGCTGCTTTACCAGGATTGCTGGTTTTATTTGCAGCAGGGATCGTGGAGCTGGTAAATAGAGGAGAAATTGTGATGTGGAGGAAGGACGTCCCAGGAACTGTGGGACCTGGCACTGAATTTCCATCAGAGCATCTGATTCATGGGGAAAAGAAGGTTTGGGAAGCTGGGGATTGCAGCTGGACAAGCTTTGTGTGGCAGGGACTTGAGTGATCAGAAATACTTTGTTATGCAGGTCCCCAAAAGGTTAATGAGCAACAATCTTTATTAATGAGGGGGTAGAGTGCACAGGCAGGGAGTTGGATCAGCAGTCCCTAATGGGAGTGCATTTAGGGCTCTGGGCATTGGGCTTCCTGCAGGCTGCAGATAGCAGGGATGGATGGGATCCTCTCTCCCAGGCTGCTGCATTAGGATTAACGGGGGCACTTCTGCAAAACATGGGGGGTTCAAGGATCTTGACCCATTCGTGCTCTGAGATGAAGCTGGCAAGGCTCATGTCAAGGTCTCTAACTTAAACACACTTTAAGCTTTAAATCAGCCAAGTGGACCAAACACAGGAGATGAATTGCCTGTCTTCTGTTCCCATTTCCATGTTGATTTTCTCCAAACCTCTTTGAAAAGCAGCTTCAACCCCCTGAAGAAATCAGTTGGAAGCCCCAGCTGTGTGATCTCTGTGCCTCTGTGTTCTGTGATAAGGGGAAGGCTGGAGACTTGTGGTGAGCAGCTCTGAGCTGGGATTAGCATTCAAAGCTCCTCCTGGGAAGGGCTCTGGGAGGCTGTAGCTGGAGGGCATCCGCTGGGAATTGAGTGCTGCTGCAGAGGGAGGCTTGTCACAGGCAGGCTGTGAGCAGCCAACTCTGCAGTGACCTTGTGGGACATCAGCTGTCCCTGCAAGGGGGAGTGCAGGCTGGTGGCAGGGCTGTGCTGCCTGCTGGGGGAGCACAGAGGTTTGGTGAGGAGGTTGGGTGTGCAGTGGTGCCCAGGGAGTCGTGGAGCCCCGTTCCCAGAGGGATTAAAGCCCTGTGGATGTGGCGCAGGGGGACATGAGGTGCCGGTGGCCTTGGCAGTGCTGGGGGAGCAGATGGACTTGGAGATGTCAGCAGGCTCTTCCAGCCTGAGTGATTCTCTGGTTCTGCAGCAGCGGTGATTGGACCTTTCAGTGGATCCGTGCATCTCGAATTCCCACTGCAAGAGAGCAGACTGGTTATACACAAACAATGGGCTCTGACGTTGTTTCTGCTGCAGGTTTCATGTGCCAGGGCAGGAGGGGCAGGTGAGAAACCTTTGCTTTGGAGCTGGTCTTTCCCAGTATTTCAGCAGGAAGCACTGAGAATGCCATTGCAAATCCTGCTCCTGGTAGGGAAACAGAGTTGGAGATCTGTTTGCCTTAACTTCCGCCTTCCAGTGATTGACATAAAACTGGAAAAGCCTCAAGAGCAGCCTGTCAGTGAAGGAGGCTGTTCCTGCTAATACCATGTGGCTTCCACCTTTCTCCAGAACATCACTGCTTTCCCTCCCTGTCCTCTTCATTGACTGCAGTGTGAATATTGGCTTGAACCTTCCCCTTTCCGTAATAACGTATCGCAGTTCATCATCGCTGGCTGTCTCGTGGAGATGATCTTTAGCTTCACAAGCACACCCCACACACACACCAACAAAATGTCAGTGTCTTCATTATTTATAAGAAAAAAAAAAAAAAAGCCAAAATATTCCACCGTATCCTAGGTATAACTTTAAAAAAAAACAAAAGCGAAAAAAAAAAAAAAGAAGAAGAAAATCCAAACAAAAAAATAGGTACAATTTCTTAATATTTGTTCCTTTTTTAATATGTTATGATATTGCACTTTGAAATGATGGCAACTGAGTAAGTTTGGAATTGGACCTAGATGAGATGTATGTGCAGAAGAAGGCTTGCAAATCTGACCCATTGGAATTTCTCTCAGAAACTGGGAATGTGTAGACAGCAGGCGCCATCACGGGGGGAGGCAGCAGATGCCAAGGGCTGAAGGCTTATAATAATTAAACACAAATTAACCCCAAGCTCTTAATTGCAAGTCTGCCTGGTGTCCAGAGCCAGCCTGGCCTTAGCAGGGGTTGGGCACTGCTGGCTCTGGAGCTGGGAATTGTCGCCGAGGCAGCGGGGACGCGTTTCCAAGGAAGCGTTACTGGGAAATACGGACGGGCTCTTTGGGATGAGTGGCTTCTGGAGGATTTGGGGGGAAAGGAAAGGGTGGATGTGCATTAGCAAAACACTTGCAGGAAACAGGGAAATAACGTTTCGAGTGCAAAATGAGTTTTCAGAGCATTTTTTTTTTTTTTTCTTTTTTAGTCCTTTTTAAGTAGAACACCAATGAAGTGAATTAGTACTGCCCAAGAGATGGGAAGGTAACAGTTCAGCTGTTTGGAAGAGAAAGCATTTTGCTTCTTGGCTTTTTTAGGGGAAGTATTGAAATCAGGACTGGCGCTAAAACCTGCCAGAGCCGATTGAAACCTTGGAAATTTGGGAGAAAGAGGGAAGAGCAGCTGGCTGCCCCAGCAGAGAGGGGGAATGGCACCCACTTTCCAGAGTGTGGGCATAGGTCGGTGGGGAAGGGGTGTTTACTTTGAACCTACAGGATCCTAGTTGAGGCATCTTAGATGGAAAGGGAGGGACTTGAGTAGGATGGAAACCAACTTCTGATTATGCAGATTTATGCCTTTATTTTTTAGCTTTTTTTTTATTATGTTCGGTCTTCCAAGTTGGTTTAGTTTGGTTCTCTAGAGCTGTATAGTTTGGTTAAATAATTAGTAATTTAGTTTTCTATGAAATTAGGCTCACAATTAACCCTTTTTTTTCTTTGATATTTATTTCTCGGCTTTAATTTTTTTTTTTTTTACTCTTTCCAATGCTGATTTTGTTGTTTTTCCTTTGGCTGAGGAATCTGTGTAGAGCTTTGCTGATGTTGCGAGATGTAGCTACCCGAGAAACACGGAATGAAACACACTAGAAGTGCACCCTTTTAATCTTTACTAGTCATTGTGAAGTTGCTGTGTAAGTTAATAAACACAATTGTAAATACATTGTTTGCTGGGCGACTCTGGCCGAGTTACAGTGCAGGAAGGAATTCTCGAGTCTGTGTTGCGATTGTGGGTTAAATGGACAATTGCAAGGGAATGTTCAGGCTCCTCCTTGGTTCTCTTCTGCCCCTCTCTCTACCACCTAAAATAACCACCTGGGGGAGGGGAAGGGAATCATCCTCACCACCACTTTCCCCAGGAAGCGGGCATAAAAGAGTTGGAATTGTTCATTCCTGAGGTGAATGCCAGGCTCATGCCCTGCCCTGGGTTTCTAGCAACTCTGCACAACAATAACTTAAAGGCAGAATGAGATGTAAAAGTGCTTTTCTAATGCAATATTAAAGGCGAATTTTTTTGACGTGGCATGTCTTGAAATAAACATCAATGATATGTGACAAAGGATCATTCTTTATTTAAAAGAAACTCTCTGGGGGAAGGAAACCTGGCTGGTTTTCCTTTGTTGTACTGTTCTTAACCGTGCTGAAATGCTTCATCCTGCTGCTTCTTCCTTGGCTTTGGTTTGCTTTTTTCTCCTTGGGTTCTCCGTGCAGCTTCTGTTGGTCCTCATTTGGCTGTTCCCCACGAGCACATCCTATTTTTTCCTTGCTTCTGATAGAACCAGCCCCCTCTGCTTCCCACAGTCCCAAGCTTTAAGCCCTGGATTTAAGGAGCTGGCTTAGCCCGTTCGGGCTGTGATGGACCAGCAGCCTGGACGCTTTTCCTGGGAGACCTGAGAGCAGGTTTGTCCAGAACTCGCTGGAAGCAAAGGTGTGGAGAGCAGCATTCCCACAGCTCCGTGTTCAGCACGGCCAGGGGGCTGCAGGAGCACAGCCAGGTACGTTCAGTGCATGTCCTTGCTGGTGGCCTGTGCTGCTTGACAGGGCTCACTCCAGCTCTCCAGAGAAAGCACACTGCCAAGGTGAGCACAGGAGCAACGTGGTTGTTAGATTCATTTTTTGTTTGCTTTGGTTTGGGTTTTTTTGCACCATCCGTCTGTCAGGTTTCAGATTTTAATTTTCTTTCACTCCGTGGGTGTGGCCAGTGGAGCCATGGGAACAGATGTTCTTAATGCTGATTTCTGTGCCATTTTCTGAGCGAAGGTCTCGGCTCTGTTTCTTTTCTCCTCCCTGCTCTGGCTTGCTCGTTGTACAGTCCATCATGCAGCTATTCCATGCCTCACGTTTTGTCTTGGTAAAAGTAGTTGAAGAAATTGTGTAAGGGGGGGGGAAAAAAAAAGGTTCCTTTTCTTCATGTTGGAATGTCACTGGTACCTCAGCTCTGTTTGATAATATGAACCAACAACGACAAGAGAACAAATCCTTAGTGCTTGAACTAAATAAATACCTGTCTCATTGGAAAGCTCTGCCTCTCTTCTCTCAGTGCAGCGTGGGCAGAGGAGCAGCTCCTCAGGGGAGGCTCTTGTGGGGCAGGAGGAGCTTTGGGGTCTCTATGGTACAGGGAGGGTGTGCAGGGGTGCTGCAGGAGGAGCTTTGGGGTCTCTGTGGCAGGGGAAGGCGTGCAGGGGTGCTGCAGGAGGAGCTTTGGGGTCTCTGTGGTACGGGGAGGGCGTGCAGGGGTGCTGCAGGAGGAGCTTTGGGGTCTCTGTGGTACAGGGAGGGCGTGCAGGGGTGCTGCAGGAGGAGCTTTGGGGTCTCTGTGGTACAGGGAGGGCGTGCAGGGGTGCTGCAGGAGGAGCTTTGGGGTCTCTGTGGTACAGGGAGGGCGTGCAGGGGTGCTGCAGGAGGAGCTTTGGGGTCTCTGTGGCAGGGGAAGGCGTGCAGGGGTGCTGCAGGAGGAGCTTTGGGGTCTCTGTGGCAGGGGAGGGCGTGCAGGGGTGCTGCAGGAGGAGCTTTGGGGTTTCTGTGGCAGGGGAAGGCGTGCAGGGGTGCTGCAGGAGGAGCTTTGGGGTCTCTGTGGTACAGGGAGGGCGTGCAGGGGTGCTGCAGGAGGAGCTCTGGGGTCTCTGTGGTACAGGGAGGGCGTGCAGGGGTGCTGCAGGAGGAGCTTTGGGGTCTCTGTGGCAGGGGAAGGCGTGCAGGGGTGCTGCAGGAGGAGCTTTGGGGTCTCTGTGGTACAGGGAGGGCGTGCAGGGGTGCTGCAGGAGGAGCTTTGGGGTTTCTGTGGCAGGGGAAGGCGTGCAGGGGTGCTGCAGGGCTGTGTTTGCTGTTGCTGCGGTGTCTCTGCCATTGTTTCCAGGGCTCCAGGGACGGAGCCCGGCCTGTGCCGGCTGAGCTGTGCCTTTGTGCTCCCCTCCTGCTCCGTGTATCCAGCTGCTGCCTCCGCTCCCGTTGTGCGGCCCCAGCCCCGCCTCAGCTCCCTGGCACACGGTGCACCCAGCCCAGCTTCCCTGGGCAGGATCCTCCTCCAGCCGGCTCTGCGGGGCCGGGAGGTGAGTGACACACGGGTGAGTTACCCTCTGCTTTCCCGAGGGACAGAGAGGATCCTGCAATACAGCTTGGGTGGGTGGGAAGGGACCTTAAAGAGCATCCAAGGGCAGGGGCACCTTCCCCTAGCCCAGGTTGCTCCAAGCCCCATCCAATAGGGAAGGGGAATTACCTGGGTGTGGTGTGCGCCCAAACCTCGGTCTCTTGGTCAAGACTCACGAAGAAATGGGTCATGAAACTGGAAGGTAGTGCTGGAATTAGGGTTATGGGAACAGTTGTGTGGTGGAGATGAGTTCCTGGAGGTTTTTGTCACTGTGGGGAGCTTCTGTTCCCTGTAGCCGGTACCTGCAGGTGCTGCCCTGGCTGGGAGCCTCTGCAAACACCACCTTCACCTCCTCAATTCCCATGGCTGCTGCTGCGGGTAGCCCTGGGACTCTCACCTCGCACTGCTGTCCCAATTCCCAGCCTCCCTCTGGTGGAGGCGTCTGGGTTGAGCTGCTGTGGAGCAGGGAATGGGTGGGGATCGCCCACCAGCTCAGAGGATGCTCCTGGCCGCTCACTCATGGCTGCACTGGGTCGAGCTCCCTCTCCAGCCCGGCTCCAAAATCCAGGAGGGATTGTCTGATTTAGATGGGAAGGTGCTGATGGCTCCTTTGCTGGCTGGTGGGATCAGCCCTGCTTTTCCCACCATTGATTTTCCCTCAGCATGCACCTGGCAGCATCTGCAGAGCTGCTGCGGCAGCCGAGCCGAGCATCCCCTGGCTGCAGTTGTGCTTCCAGCTCCCCGATCCCGGCGATCCCAAGTGCACGGGCTCTCCCTGCCTGCTGCAGCCGCCCCTTTTGCCATGCTGGGCATGTCCCAGCCCCGAGGAAGATGAATGGGGCGGGCGGGCTGCGCCAGGCAGGGCTGCCGGCAATCCCGCGGGCACGGAGGCAGCTGCGCGCAGCCGGACCTCGGAGCAGCCTCTCCTCCCATCTGCGCTGCCTCCTCCTCTGCTGCTCTCCCTCTGCCTTTCCAGGCGTGCTGGGCTTGGGGCTTTCACCAGTGGAGTTGTTGTTTCATCAGTTTAAGGGATTTTTTATCAATTGGTAAAAATACCGATTTTATTTCCCCCCCCCCCCCCCCTTCTTTAACCATTTTCCCCTTCCCCACCCTGATCCAAGCACCTGGTGAAGTCAAACATGGATTTTTATAAAATATTCAGGATCCTCTTGTAGGAGCAGAATGGAGCTGACTGCCTAGATGGTTGCTGGAAAGCCTGGGCTCCCACTGATGTTGGAAATGAAACTCCTGTGGAATTGCAGCTCTGCCCTTCCCGGGAGGATGAGGGGTAGGGAAGGGCTGCAGGTGATGGTGCTCCTGCTGCCCCACAGCCCTGCCCTGCTGCTGCTGTTTCCAAATGGAATTTTCCAGCCTTGCCACCTGTTTCTGAGGGTTTGGGTATGAATTAGAGCCATTGTGAGTGCTCGCTGTGGGCCACCCGGAGAGCACGTCTGCAATGAGGATGTTATTAAAGGCTTGATTAAAGGTACTGCTAATTAAAGCACTGAAGTGTTTCTCCCGCAGCCAGTGGCTCCTCGGGTACAGGGCAGGGAAGGGAGAAAATGGGATTTATCCATGCTCCCAGCACTGGTGGTTTGGCACTGTGTTTATCCCAGTTTGGGAAGGGGGGCTGTGTGGAAACTGGAGGTTTGATCCTGACATTTCCTGAGCTGCTCCATTTCCAGAGAGGTGGGTTTGGATCCCAATGTGGCTCCCAGCTGACTCCTGTGCCATGGTATATTGTGGGATTCATTTTCCAGGCAATTTGTGGCCATGATGGGCTCTTGCCTGCTCCTTACTGCGGGTCCCGTTTTTCCGAGGGGCTCTGGAGTTGTTCTGGGCTTTGGAGCTTCAGCAGCTCTCCCTGCTGGGAGAGAGGAGTGCTGCGAGCTGGGGATGGAGCAGGTCAGCCCTGAGCCCTGTCCCTCAGCACTCCTGCTCCCTCTGCTCCTACCCAGCGCCACTCTCGGGCACCACGAGCTCCTGGGAAGCCCCTGCGGAGGCTTTTGTGGGCTGTGCATCTGTTGTTTGGGCTTCCAAAATTATTTATATTTAATTGCTGCTTCATTTAGCTCCCTAGTGCAGGGCCTGCATGAAGACCCCAGGAATTGCTGCTGGAGGCTGCTCCAGCCTGAATTGCTCCATGTCCCTGGATCTCTGGGAGAGCAGCACAGCAGGAGAGAAGCAGGAGCACTGTCCAGGACGTCCAGGTACTGCAGGGATAAGGAGCGTGGGGTCTGAGCTTCAAGGTCTCTTCCAACCTAGAAATTCTGTGATTCTGTGAGCTTGGGAAAAGGAGCTTTAGAGGTCAGCAGCTGGACGTAATGTCCAGCATGGCCTTCCCATGCCAGACAGTTTCTAGGTCATGTTGCTGTTGGTAACAAGTTTCCAGATCTTTCCATCTCCCAGTGTGTCTCACCTTGGCCCATGAACCATAAAATGGATATTGGATTGGTAAATAGAGTAAAATTCTTCTCTGTGAGGGTGATGAGGCCCTGGCACAGGTTGACCAGAAAAGCTTCCTAATATCCCATCTATCCCTGCCCTCTGGCAGTGGGAGCCATTCCCCCTTGTCCCCAGCCCCTCTGCAGCTCTCCTGGAGCCCCTTCAGGCCCTGCCAGGGCTCTGAGCTCTCCCTGGAGCTTCTCCTCTCCAGGGGAGCCCCCCCAGCTCTGCCAGCCTGGCTCCAGCCCTGCAGCAGCTCTGGGGCCTCCTCTGGGCTCTCTCCTGTTCCTGCTGTGTCCCCAGGGCTGCAGGTGGGCTCTCACTGAGCACAGACACAGAATCCCCCTGTCCTGCTGGAAAGGCAGGGGGGACAAGAGGAGCTGGTGACAGCCCTGGGCAGCTCTGCAGGGGGACACAATCCTTCCCACCCCCAGAGTGTTCCCTCCTCATCCTCACTCACCCTCAGGCCAGGCTGGTTTTTCAGTGCCTTTATTAGAATTCAAAGAGGTTTTTTTGTAGTTTTTTTCCCCTTTCTGGGGGCGGGTGCGCAGCAGGAGGGAGGCAGGGAATGCAGGAGAGGATGAGGATGGTGTGTGGGATATCCCAAAGCCCTGATGGGCACAGGAACTGACCTAAAGGCAGGAGCAGGCTGGGGTGCTGGTGTCACTGGTGGTTTTCCATCCAGCTGTAGGGCTGTAATTCCTAAACTCAATGTCAGTCGTGGTTCCAGGATCCCATCCTGGCTCTAGGGGTGACACTGGGCAGCTGTTCCTCACCTCTTCCATTGCCCAACCGAAACCCTGAGTGCTGCTTGTCCCCTGGCCTGACCAGGGGTTTGTCCCTGCTGTGTCCCCTCAATCCCAAATCCCTGCTGTGAAGATCCCGGCTTGGCTGCCAGAAAGGCTCCCTGGTCCCCATGGAGAGCTGCCCTTCTGCCCATCCCAAAAGTGAAAACCAGGGATTGTTCTGGGTGAAACTGAGGATGCTGGGTGTCCCTCCCACTCCCTGGGCTCTTCTCAGCCTCATTCCCAAGGTTTAAACTCAAATTCCTGAGGGTTTTGCACCATTTCTCCAACTTGGCCAGGCCCAGGGGACCGGTGCATGTTGGAAAGGGGTAGAAATCCTGCAAAGGGTTTCATCCTCCTTCATCTTTTACCTACCTCCTGAGTATCCCTGTGGTGCCCTCTGGTGCCAAAAATGCCCTTAAAAAGCCTCTGCATTGTGGGGTTCACCCAGCCTAAAAAGGTCCAGCCACTTCCCCCACTAAAAAAATTCAACTTTCTCCCTTCTCCCAAACCCGGAATTTCTGCAGCCAGCTCCCTGTGGAGATTTGGGATGGGGAGTGGCCCAGGGAACCTTTGCTGATGGGAATTGGGTGCTGTGGTTCTGGAGAGGGTTTGGGGGCTCTGAAGCACATGGGGGTTGTTTAATGCAGGAGCTGGGGCCGGCAGCAGGGCGTGTGTGGGAGCCTGTCCCTCTGGGGAGGCTGAGGGCGCTCAGGGCAGGGTCCAAGGCAGGGCTGGGGAGCGAAGGGGGGCCGTGGCTCAGTTTGGCAGCCACTAAAACCAGCAGGGCATCCACATGAAGGAGCCCAGGGCGGCGCCGGTGGCGGCCCCGGCCAGCAGCCCCAGCGCCATCTGGTCCCCGGAGACGCGGTAGGGATCCTCGCGCACGATGACGTGGGTCACCCCGGGAGCTGCGGGGAAAGGGGGTGTCAGCAGGGGGGGATGGCCCCGGGCACCCCTCCCCGGGGCCACGGGGCCACCCACCTCCGTACTGGGGGCCGTAGTGGCCGGAGCTGATGTAGGCGGCCTGGTGCGAGTCCAGGGGCACCGTCTGGTAGTAGTCGTCGTCGTAGGGGTCGTACACGTGCACCTGCAGCAGTGGGGACTGTGGGGTCAGCTCCCCGGGGGGGATGGGGTTCTGGGGCTCTGGGGTGGGGAGTCACAGCGGCCCCAAGGGCTGGGGACAGCCTGTGCTCGGGTCACCGTCATTCTGCCCCTTGCTTGTCACCTTAACGGTGCCCCCGCCACCTTAATGGTGCCCCCGCCACCTTAACTCTGCTCCCATTCCCTTCACCTGCCCCTGTCACCTTAACCATGCCCCTGTCACCTTAACTGTGCCCCAATTCCCCTTAACTGTGTCCCTATAACCATAACATCGTCCCTGTCATCTTAGCTGTGTCCCTGTCACCTCAACTCTGCTCCTATTGCCTCTAACTGTCCCTGTCACCTTAACTGTGTGCCCTTGTCACCTTACCTGTGTTCCGCCACATCAACTCGGCCCCCTTAATGGTGTCCCTGTCACCTTAACAATGTCCTGACCTGTGTCCCTGTCACCTTAACTCTCCTCCCGTCACCCTCCACCAGTGCTCTGTCACCTGCCATCAGTGGTGGCATCCAACCCCTCCCCTCCTTCTTCCCTGCGCCCTGAGGCTGCACTGTGGGTGTTGGGGAGCCCCCCAAGCTCAGGGTTGGGGTCACCTCTCCCTGCCCAAATGCAGAATCCCAAATCCCGTGCCAGGACGGTGTCCCTGCTCAGGGGACAAAGCCTCACCGGGGTGGATTTAGCCTCCAGCACGGCCATCTTCCAAGCACTGCAAACAAAACAGAGTTACTAATTTTTGGTGGGTGCTGGAGGGGTGGGAATTGTCCCCTTCCTCCCCCCGGGGACCTGAATGTGGCACTGTTCTTTAATTCCCTGTTAAATGAGTGCTGGGCCAACAGCTGGGATTGGGGATGTGCTGGGAGGTACCTGACACCACAGGGATGGGCACAGAGCAGTCCCTGGGAATGGCCCTGGCTGAAACAAGGCAGGCAGGAAAATGACACCTAAATTTGGGGGGAAGAGCACATAATGGATGAATTTCCACTCAGCTGAGATCAAGCTCAGTTGAGGAAGTTCTGTTTGGCATGTTTCCCTCCATCCAAGTTCAGCATAATAGTATAAACAGAAGTGGGACAGTGCTAAAAAGGGCAGTTTGCCTCTAGCCAGTGAGGGCTTCACATTCAGACTTTTTATTTCCAGATAATGATGAGAACCCTTCTCCTCAGTCAGGCCAAGAGGGGATTTCTTATCCACGAGGAGCTGCCCCCATCAGGAGATGGACTGCTCAAAACCAGCTGCTTTTGGCTGTGGATTATTCAGTGAGAGCCCCAAATCTCCTCCTGCACCTTTTGCCCTGCAAGTGTGTTTGAGAGCAGGGGCTGTGGGCCGGTTTAGCCAAGGGGAGCAGGCCAGGGCTCTCCTGCGGCCCGGGTCCCTTCCAGGCTGGGATAACTGGGATGGAGAAGTCGCTTACACGGCGTCGTCCTCGCTCTCGGCGCACAGCGTGGTCTTGGAGCCGTCCCGCAGCACCACGGTCAGCAGGCACTCGCGGCTCCTCCCCTCGGGCGGCTGCACGTCTGCCGGGGAAGGGATGAAGGGATGGGGTGGGATCCAGCCTGGGCCAGGAGGAGTCCCACAGAGCCTCCCCGGGCTCCACATCCCTCCTGGCACAAGAGGAATGTGCCATTCCCTGCCTGGATGGAAATTAGCCCTGGGTTTTGTTTTGGCTCCGTCTCCGCGTGGAGGATGCAGTCAGGGTCTCACAGGGTGAAAGCTGGCACAGGGATTGAGCTGATGGGCAGAAACCTCCGCCCCCATGGCAGAAGGAACATGGAAGGGCAGCAAACTGCCAAAATTCTGCTCGAGGCCACGAGGCTGAGCTGCCTGTGCTTTGAACTTGCCGGAGCGCACCCAAATTTTGTAGGAACGGGAGATGCTCATTGCTGGAGCGGGAGCATGAGCTCCAGCAAGGGCAAAATCTTCAATCCCTGAGGTTTGTGTGTGTGTTCCCCTGTTGTGAAGCTTGGCAGCAGCGTATGGAGAGCACGGAGCTGTGGGATTGTGCTCCCACGGCCGCTCCCAGCCCCAGAAAGGCGCTTTGTGCGGCGGCGTGGGCTGCGGGGCCCGCCGAGCTGCTGCTTTGTTCCCTTGTTTGTGCGAGACACGAGCGATGAGTCAGGGCCGTGGGATCCTGTTTGTTACAAGCACGAACCACGAGGAGAGTTCCTCCTTCCCTCCTTCCTTGCTCCTTCCTTCCCTCCTTCCCCCAGGAAAAGCAATGGCAGAGACCGTCCAGGGTCTCCCGGCTGGGCGCAAGGAGGGGTGCATGGGGCAGCCTGGGGTTATTAATGGGTTATTTTGGGGGTCTGCTGGATGTGCAGAGCTGGAGCCTCGTTTAAGAGGGGTGCAGCCACACGTGGGATGGGGTTGGGAGCAGGGGCTCGGCTCACCTTTGCACTCGCGGCCGATCCGCACGTCCCGGCAGCTGTACTTGATGTGGATCCGGCCGTCCATGTCCCGCTGCGTCTCATCATGGTAGTAAACCAGGCTGCCATCCAGGTAGAGCACGAACCAGTTCCTCTTCCAGCGGCGCAGGATGGAGCCTGGTGGGACAGGGAGCAGCTGCAGGAGCCCAGCAGGGCCAGTGGGCCGCAGCCAGCACACTCACAAGACCCCATCTCATTCCCCAAACTTGGATCCCTCCTGGGACACCTGTGCCTGGCACGAGCAGCCGGGGCAGCGTGAGCAGGTGGCTGTAAGTGGGAAAGGGCTGCCAAAAAAGCCATCAGGGCACTGGGTGCTGCCCTGCCGAGGCACGGGAGCGGATCCAGCCCCAGACACGGAGCCGTGTGTGCTCTCATGGCAGGCAGCCCCTCTCTCTCTGCGCTGACGCAAATCCATGAGCGGCTGAGCCACAATCTGCCTGTGGATTACCCGCCCAGCTCGGGGCTCCTGGTGTCCCCCACACCCCACCTCTTCCCAGCAAACCTCCCCAGGTGTTTCTGGGGGCCTCCCAACCTGGAAAGCTCAGAGGTGGCACTTACTCTGGCGCCAAAGCCAACCGCTCTTCACCAGCGCCATGGCTGCCGCGGGCTTCGCTGGATCTGCTGGGACGGGAACAACAACGGGGGTCAAACAGCAGCTCCTGCCTCGCCCCTGCCTCTGGCCATGGCTCCCACCTCCCCACAGCCACCGGGGCTGGGATTCACCCTTGCTGCTCCCGGTATTCCTGGGGGCTGAGCTCAGCGCCCGGGTTAATCGGGGTTAGGCAGACGCGGGGTTTCATCATGTGGGAAATGTGGCAGGGAAGCACTGCGGCCACCTTGCCTCCTGCCTTAATCTCATTGGGATTTAGGGATTATCGGCCCGGAGGTAAGGGCAGAAATCCGGGCCGTGTATGAAAGCAGGCAGTGCCTCCCCACAGCCCCAGTAACTTTCCATGCTGAACGACACCTCCACTTGTTTATTTTCCCTGCCTGGATGGAAATTAGTCCTTAATAAGGCCATGAAGTCATCACTCCCCAGGTCCCTGAGCAGAGCCAACACCCCAGGGGCAGGCAGGAGCAATTCCCTGGCCGTGGCCCCTGCATCCCCCGTATCCACTGGGAATCCCAGCTCCCAGTGATGGGAGCTTGGCACCCTGGCATGGCCTCCAGGACCTCCCACCAGCTCCAGGGGCACGGCAAGGCACAAACACCCCCAGCAATCTGTGCCTGCGTTACCGAGTGCCTGAACCCCTGAGCATCCAGCTCCCCGTGGAGTTTGCAGCCCTGCTGCCATCACCCGTACTGCCACATCCCCGGGAAATCCCAGCCCGTGGATACCCCATACCCCCATCCCCTGGCACCCCCCTCATCGCACTGTGCTCACAACCCTCGGTACCCACATCTGCTGCCCTCATCCCGCATCCCTGACATCTTCCCCCCTCCATACCCAAATTTTGTGGCCAAATTTCGTGGCACCGTTCCTCCCCCCTCAGCACCCCGAGTCCCGTCCCCGCGGCAGTGTCCGCGCCCGGTTCCCCATCCCCGCTCCCCATCCCGGTCCCCCCGCGCATCCCTCACCGGGCGGAGGCGGCGGTGCCGCTGCGGGCTGCGCTGCGCTCCGCTCCCGCCGCCGGGCTCCGGCTCTGCCCGCCCGCCCGCGCGGCTCGCCGGGAGCTGTAGTCCGGCACGGCCATGCCCGGCGCTGCCCGCCGCCAGAAACCCGCCGTGCACGCATCTAGCCCCGCTTTGCACAGATTTAGCCCCAAAAAGCCGCTGCCCGCCGGGGATGTCCGTGCTTCATCCAGCAGCTTCCATCCTCTCTCCTCCAATCCCCCCTTTTCCCCCTTTCCATCCAGCAGTGCGGGGGCCCGGCCCGAATCTGGGAATCCAGGGAGGAGCTGCTGCCCCGCACCGAGCTGGGCACGGGGAGCGATGCCCAAAATTTTCAGTTTTTTCCTGAGGATGGCTCTGAGGAGGTGTTTGATGCCGAAATAAACCAGGAAAAGTTTTAAGCACCGAAGTGCTCGTCTGAAATAAACTTCAAGTGGAGTGAGGAATCCTCTGGGTCAAAATCAAAGCTTGTCCTGGGTTCTGCTGGAATTAGAACCGTCCTGGCCTGTGGGACATGAGGTTGGATTATTTGGGGAAGTCAAGACACAAATCAGGTGACAGCTGTAAATAAAAGATGTTTATTGAGCACATTGAACACTTTATTTATTTTTATATATATATATATATGTTTTCTATTCCAGCACGTTTTTCAATGTGAAGTCCTTTCCCCTCCTCTCCCTCCATTGCTGGCTTTATTTCCTTTTTTAGAAGGAATTAAATTAATCCAGCAGCCTGCTGGATGATCCCAAAGAAGTTAAAAGGGAATCACCTCCTCAGCCAGCCCACACTCACAGCCTTGTGCGTGGCTGTGGGGCTGCAAAACATCCCGGTGCTGCTGAATATTCCCAAAATCAGGAAAATTGTTTGGAAATCCGGCTGGGCCAGAGATTTTGTCCTGCCACAAGTCCAGAAAAAAGTTCCCTGAGAATTTGGGCTGAAATTTGGATTTATCCACTGGCTTGGGCTGCCTCTCCGTACAGACATTAATTGGAATTAATTGTTGTCAAAACTTTTCCATTGTGGTTTTCCTCTTGGGAAGGAAACAGTGCTGTTTTGAGATTTTGGGTGGGCTTTGTCTATTATTTTTTGTCAACTAGGGTGTGATTTTTTAAAATGTTAAATAGGATAAATTTGGGTGGAGATGGTGACCAAAGAGCCAGGAAATGTTTTCCAGCCAGTGAAAGGATTCCACGTGGGAATACACTCTCAGAAGAGCCAGATCCTGGATTTCCCCGCATTTTCCATAGCAATTGGGGGTTGTTTAATAAAATCCATGGACTTCGATGCCTCTGGTTTGTTTTTCCTCCAGCTCTGCCTGCTGGGGATCTCCCCCGTTTTGGGAATTTCCCAAGCTCTTCCCACGCCTCAGGAAATCCCTGTCTTCCACAGGGGGTCTCCCCAGGTTCCAGGGAGCTGTGGAGACGGGAGCTCAGGGGGTTCAGAGCTGAACGTGGGGACAGAATTTGCTCTTCCTGTCATCCCCACCATGGGGACGGGTGTGCACCTGGTTAAACAGCCCAAAATCCCAGCGGAGGCTCCTTTTCCTGTAGCTGAGCGTGTCCCGCTGGAATCCTGCAGGAGAAAGGCACAAGGACAGCCGTGCCCTCCGGCATGTTCGTCCCGTCCCAGGGCAGGGCTCGGACCCTGGGAATCCCGGTCCCCATTCCCCGATTCCCGGGGGAGGCGTTCCACACCCACAGCTCACATCGCCCCCAAAACCAACAGCGAAACACACGGAACCGCTGTTGTGAGGGATCTGAGGAGTGTCAGTCTCCGGTTGAGACCCAGGGGGTTCTCCAGCCCTTCCCAAACACTCCAGTCCTGCCCTGAGCAGCGTGAGGGGCGGCTGCGGCCGTGAGGGCAGGGGGCCAGCGCTCCGTGAGGGCGGCGAGCACGGCCGGGCCCCGCCGCTCCCCGCTCCCGGCCCGCGGCCCTGGGCTCCCCAGACGACCCGGGAAGGGTGTCCCGGAGCCGGGATCAGCTCGCGGATGGCCGTGGAGCCCCGCCCGGCGCATCACGGTGGGATTCCCGTCGCGGCCTTCTGCCTCCCATCAGCCTTCGCGCACTACAGCTCCCGTCACGCACCGCTGAACTACAACTCCCGCCATGCCCGGTGGCTCTACCCCTGTCGTACTACACCTCCCAGCCCGCCCCGCGCCCGTCCGGGCCCTGTCGCCTTATGTCCTTCCCCCGCCGGCCGCATGGACTACACTACTCATGACCCCCCGCGCGGAGCGGCCAGCGGCAGGCCGCGGCGGCAGGGCGCGGAGCATGCCGGGAGCCGTAGTCCCCGCAGCGCCGGCGGCTGTAACGGTCCCGCTGGTGGTACTGCCCCCCCTACCCCCCCCATTCCCGGCTGGCGGCTGCGGGAGCAGCGGGAAGAGGAGGAGGAGAGGGAGAGGGAGAGCTGCTGCACCGGCACAGGGGCCGCCGCCGCCCGAGCAGCCGCAGGTAAGGCGAGGGGAAGGCGAGGGGGGACAGCGGCGGGTGACAGCGGCGGGAACGGGGTGGCGGCGTGCGGGCACGGCGGGGATGGAGGGGGCTGCGCAGGGAGGGGGCGGCGGGGCAGCATCCCGCAGCCGCGGGCGGGGGCAGCGCGGAGCGGAGCCCCGGGGCGGGGGGAGCCCCTGATCCCCGTGTCCCCCGAGTCCCCCGTGTCCCCCGGGGCTGCAGCCGCCGCCGTGTCCCTGCAGAGCCCGATCTCCCCGTGGCTCTGCCGGGTGTCCCCCTGTCCTATCCCCGCACCGCGCCGTGTGTCCCCGTCATGCCCCGGCGGTGCCCCCAGCCCAGCCTGTTGCCCCCAAACCCGCTGTGCCCCCCTGGCACGATCCCTGTCCCCCATCCCAGGGCTGTTCCCCGCTCCAGGCTCAGCCCGTCCCCGGGAGCCCCGGACGGGATGCCCGGGCTGGGGGTGCCCCCGGGACGGGCGAACCCCCGAAATGTGCCCGGGGCACGTGGGGCCGGGAGGTGCGGGGACAGCGGCGGCAACTCCGGGCTGAGCCCGTCCCGCAGCCCTGCCGGGGGGAACGGGGATAAAACGGGGATAAAACGGGATGAAACGGGATGAAACGGGGATAAAATGGTTAAAGGCTGCGCGGAGCGGGGGGATGCCGGCGCAGCATCCACAGGAATGAAAGCAGGGACGTCCAGGTTGGGAAATGCAAGGCGGCGGTGAGATTCTGTGCCTGGATGAAATGCCTGTTCCGGTCGGGTTTTTATGAAAATGTGGATTGTTCTCCCCCCCACCCCTTCCCTTTTTTTTAATGATGATTGCTCGCACGCTCTGCTGTTGGCATTGTGGCGTTCAGGGCAGCGGAGTCCATCGCTATATTGTGGGGGAATAATGCCAAAAGGGAGCTTGGTTCCAGTCCTTTATAGAAAGCAGGGGAGCCTGGAAGTATGGAAATGAAATAAATATTCATTAGCAGAAAGAGGGTTTGCGCCGGGTTGGGTTTTTGGGGGCGTTTTTGCCCCCTCACTGCACATGGTGATGGGATTTTGGGTTATGGTTTGTGTTTCCATAGGCTGAATTTCATTTATTTGGTGCTCATTATTGTCAAGTGCAGAAAAATGAGCAGGTTGAGGGTATTTTTTTCCCCCCTCTCCTGGACAAAGACATGTTGTGCTAAGCAGAAAGAAACCCCAGAAAGATTATATTTCTGTTTTAATCAGAATATGATTTAAGATGCAGTGGTGTGTTTATTTTTGCTGCTAAATAGTGATGGAGGAAGTCAGAGCCTTTTTTTTTGCGTGTGTGTGTGTGTTTTTTTTTAAGGAATGTGAATGATGGAAACATCTTTAGGGAAACATTTTGCTGGACTTGATTGCATCAACTGCATTATTTCATAAAATGTGAGCTGTGAAGTGGTTGTTGATTAGAACTCCAATTGAGGAGCGATGTTGAGCAATGTAAAGAAAAAGGAAATTAGTATGAAGAGGCCAAATGCTTATTTTCTTTTTTTTTCCTCCAGTTCTTTCTGATTCTGAATTTTAACTGTTTCGTGGATTCTCCTGACCCTTATGGTTGAGTCTATTTCAAAAAGAAAACCCAAACAACAACTATGATCTGTGTGTTTATTTTTGTTATACATACATAGTTATTAAAAGGACTGATATCAGCCAGCATTGTGTATTTTGCATCAAATTTGTGTTAAATCTGATTAACTTTTGTTCTGTAAGTTGCAAATACCAACTAACCCTGCTGTGCATCCCAACTTTTTATTTACCAAAGCAAATGTTGACGGTTTTTAGAAGGAATCTTTCTCTCCCAAACCCTGTGCTTTACTTTAGGGAAGGTGGGATAAGTGTTACAGATGTTATTGTCCAGTTCTAGGGGGTTTGGGGTATATTCTTCAGCTGATTAAAATTCCTGGCTGTCAGCAAAGGGAATACACTCTCAGATATTAGGATAGGTGGATATATATCCTCTGGAACAAAGGGACTGGGAGCAAAATGTGTTTGGAGTTCGTTCAGAAAATATTCCTTGAGGAAGTAAGTTCCTTGAGTAAGGAGTGAAAATCCTGAATTGCAGAAAAATTTACATGGAATAACCAGGATACAGTGATTTAGGGAGAAATCTGTGGAGCTGCTCTCTGCCCTTGGCTGGTGCTCACCTGTCCAACCCCGTGCTGAGCCTGCGCTGCAGCAGGGGAACGGCCCAGGGGGTGAAAATCTGCTGGATCGAGTGAAGTTTCCCTGGTGCTCATGATCCAAGGGCTAAAAGAACAGGGCAGAGAGGTGCTGAAAGCATTTCTGAGCAGGGTGAGGACGCTCTGGAGCAGCAGCTCAGTGGAAGGGCTGCAGTACCTGCACTGGAGGCACAATGGCGATGATAATTGAACTGGGTGAATTGGACCCTGTGCTGAGCCCAGCCCGGAGGTGTGTGTGGGATCCAGGGCACTGTGGGGGCTTGGCAGGGAGGTGGGACATCGGGATGTCACCTGCCGTGCCCAGAGCTCCCTCTGGCTCCAGGTGTGCTGGCACTCCTCGCCCTGCTCCTCAGGTGCTCCCTCCAGGAACGCTGAGCGCATTCCCAGCTCTGCAGGGCATCTGTGGGGCTGTCAGGAGGGCAGCACAGCTTTGTCACCTCCCTCTGGGAGCTCCCTGCTCCCTCAGCAGGGTCAGGAGCTCCGCTTGTGTCCCAGCCCTGCCTTTGGGGCTGATGGCATCTGCAGAGGTTTCCCCGGTTTCCCTTTCCGCAGCAGCAGCGCCAGTGCTCCGTGTACTTTGTGTTTCCTCTGCCATTCCCAGAGCCTCTCCCTGTGCTCTCCCTGCTCCTGCTCCCTCCTCCCTCATCCTCCTCATCTGCTGGGCTCAGTTCTGCTGCTTAAAACCCAGCAGTGCTCACCTGCAGTCCCTAGGAATATTCAGTCAATATTCAGTCCATAGGAATATTCAGCCAATATTCAGTCCATAGGAATATCTGCTGCTTAAAACCCAGCACTGCTCACCTTCGGTCCCTAGGAATATTCAGTGTGGAATGACTGACTGGCAAACAGCTCCTGGCATGCTCTGTGGTATTTTCTTCCTGCTGCTTCCAAATTCCAACCCCTTGATCCCCCTGGATGCTGCTGGATTCTCGTGCCGTGCGGATGAAGATTTCTGTTTCGGTGGCCACAAATGAAATCCACCTGTCTGCTTTTTTACCTGTTGATGGTCTTTTAAGTCTCTGAATTAAAAAAAAAAAATACTGATTCTTGATCTGTCACTGTTTAAAAGTGGGGATAATTTTTTAGGAATTATTTCCATGGGACTCAAATGCCAGCTGGACAGACAGAGTTCTCCAGAGCTGTTTATACTGTGTCACTTTCTTGTTCCTTCCACTCAGCTGAATCACTTTGTTCCTACTTTTGTGTCACAAACACTGATATCCCTAAATGTCAGTGGCAGGGCTGTGTTTATTTATGGAAATTCATGGAATCCCAGGAGGATCTGGGTTGGGAGGGGCCTTAAGGCCCACCCAGTGTCACCCGTGCCATGGCAGGGACACCTCCCACTGTCCCAGGCTGCTCCAAGCCCCGTCCAGCCTGGTCCTGGACATTCCAGGGATCCAGGGGCAGCCACAGCTGCTCTGGGCACCCTCCCAGGGGGAACTTTTTCCCAGTAAAATTTGTGTAAACCTGATTTTAGGAGAAAGTCAGGATGTGATTGCACTTCCTACCTGCCCAGCTGGGCAGAGAGACAGTAAAATCAGTGTAAAATCAATGTACAAACATACCTATGATCTATATTCCATGTTATGCTCTGCTTTAAGTGCTTTGTTGGGTGGATAATCTTGAGGTGAGGTTTTATGTTTGTTTTGGGCAGCAACAGTTGGGAATTTCTGGGATTTTCTTTTGCTGAGGACAGGTGTGCCATGGGCGTGTGAGGCAGCAATCCCAGACCTGCCATTGGGATCCCAGGCAGCAGAGATGCAGCTTTTGGATCTTTTTGGCAATTCTATGGAGGCATATCCAGCATTTGCAGATCTGAAATTTTGGGAGCTCTTTATTTATAAGACCCACGTAGGGAAGGAGCTTCTGTTGATGATGACGGAGACTCGCAGATTTTTTACAGCGTGAGTGGGACTCGGATAAATTTTCCAGAGCTCCTCTGGGTTTTGTTTACTATGGATGTGCAGAAAACCCTGAGCATTGCACAGGAATTTCAAGTGACTGTGCTTTCTGGGAGGCAAAAAAAAAATAAAATGTGGGCCTGCTGACGCTCCCCAGCAAACCATTCAGGAGATTATCGTCATAGGATTTATAAAAGCTGAATAAAACACACCCCATTCCCCTCCTCTGGGTTGTATTTGTGCTTCACCCTGTCTCCTCTTCCTTTCCTTGTCTGAAAGGGTCCTGTGGAAAAGTGGAGAGTGGAAAAATGAGAATTTAGAGCAGAAAGCTGGGGTTGGTGCAGTAACTCTCTCAATAGGAAGGCTGAAGCTGAAGTGTGTTTGTGGGCTGATGGGTTTTGCCTTCCTTGTCTCAGCAAGGGTTAGAGATTTGGGAGGATTATTGGAGACAAGCTTAGAGTATTTTATGAGAGGAAAAGTACTAAACTGGCAAAAAAAAAAAAAAAGAAAAAAGAATAGATGGCATCATGCCTGCTAGGCATGTCTAATTCTTTGATAGAATGGATAAAGATTGCAGACTGCAGCAGAAGTTAAAATAGACCATAACATCTCGGGGTCCGCAGGGTTTTTCCTTCTAATTTGCTGTAGAGCTTAATAAAAAAGATTTGCCTCTTTTATGGCACCAGGCTCTTTATCTGCCACAAATTGAAGCCCCGTGCTCGAGCTGCTGCTTTCTCTGCTCTTAGATAGCAGCTCCCTAAATTTGATAACGAATGGGTTTTACCATCCTGAGTTTGCAAAACACATCCTGAGGACTGGGGAGAAGTTCTGAGCATGGTCTTCTTTTTCTTAATTTTCCTTTCAATTCTGTACACCTGGATTTATAGCCAATAATAAC